ATCACTTTAAATAAACAAAAGTTATTAAGTGATTTTTTTTTACATATATCTTAAAAAGTATTTTGTAAGGCTGTCTCTTAAAATTATTGCATAAATATAAATACCAATTACTTGATGTTCCTAGTTTCTCGAAGAAAAAAAAAATTTTACAGAGATTCTTCCATATATTCTATCTCTATTGTTCGTGATTTGCTTTCTCAAATGTCTTATTTATTTTGTAAAAATAATAAAGAATAAGATAGTATTGATTACAGCTAGAATTTCGCGATTATTACAATAATTACGTTAATTTCTGGGGAATTTTTCTTGAATGCAAATAATTGTTTTATGATAAAATTGAAAAAAATTTATAAAAACCCGTTTACATATGTCCTTTTTGTACATATTATATTGCGCATACAAACAAAAAAAAGTTTGCAGTGAAAATGCAATCAGAAACCAAACCAAACTACCGAGATAGTAGTACTTTTTTGCTTTTCTTGTGTAAAGTTCTCGAATTCTCTCACCATTGAATGGGCAGTTGGTACAAGTATGAAGAAACTCGATTTCATACAGAAAAAGAGATAAGGAAACGATACAAATTTAGTCACACCTTTTCAACAATCCTACGAGCGGCATTTTGATTTTTTTTTTGAGATTTTATGTAAGTGAAAAATTTGTCTTTCTAAATATGATTTTTTTTTAAAAAACAATGGAAAATATGAATATACTTTTTTTTTGCTTATTAAAACTTAATATTCTTAAATTAGTGTTTATTTGTAAATTTGGATCTGTACATTTAGAATACTTTAAATAATATGAATCTTTTTTAAAATATGAATTTTTTTTTAAATATAATGTGCTAAAAAGAATTTTTAATATTTTTAATATTATGCAGATAAGAAATTACATCCATATAATATTATTTGCACAGATGAGAAACGATTGTAATGCCGTTATTGTACGTTATAGTTACTTTCTTTTAGTAATAGCAACGAATTTTAATTTAGTAACTATTATTACAATAAATATTACTTTTTATGTTTTAAGTCTATTTGTGACCTAATTTCCGTAAGTATTAAATCTTTAATCTTTGATTATTATTTATAGTCTGTCATTAAATATAAGACCACCTTTTAATTTATTTTAAATTCTAGGAGACCTCTATGGTCTGTAATAATACTATGTCAATATTAAATAAGATCTTATAATAATTATTATAACCTCTCAAAATATAAAATTTTTAAGGCATTGCAAATGATATTAATATGATTCCATTTATACATACTTGATAGATATCAATTTTAATTATATGGTATAGACAAAAATAATATAGAAGTATTATAACATAATACATACATTTGAATAATGTTTAATTTTTAAGACATAATTATCACTTTTTTAAATATACGGATTTTAATTTAAAAAACTGAATAATATTACGAAATACAACATTCATTTAAAAATCTATATTTTTGAAAA